CAGTAGCAGTGCTATGGTATTGGTAGTAGTCGTGGTAATGATAGTAGTAGCGTAGTCGTAGTCCCTGTGGTGCAGACATGTCCTTTCCTTGGCCTGCTGTGCCCACCCATCCTTTTGCTTTTGCCCGTCTCGCTTCCTTTCTTTCTGCTCACTCTCGACCCTCCCTGCTGACGCCGACGGGCCGGTCGAAGCAGTAACCTTGAAAGCATGTATCCATACCTGGCCCCCATTTTGCCGGTAGCCTACTGTACACACCCTGCAGTGCACACTGCACACGCACACTGCCCACACGCTCCCTCGCGTCACGTGCTGCATCTGAGCTGGACGCACCCGATCCACGGAACTGCTGTTCATGAACGGACCTTGGGCTGCATGCCGCCATTGGCCATCCGTGCATCAGTCCAGACGCCGCTCTGCTCGATACACTGCACTGCTGGGCCTCGACATACTGCGCCGCGGCGCTGACAGAGATGCCTGCCTGCTGCACTGCACCCCAACGCTATCAGCTACCCAATACACGAAGCCAGACGACGCCGCTTCCGCTCTAGCTGCCAATCATCCATGCCCCTTTGATAACCACGCTCGGCATGCCGGTACAACATGGCCGAATCAAAAGCAACCTGCAGACATGCTACTCGCTCTCTCCTTTTGAGCTGCCAACAACCCCCCATCCAATCGCTGCCCCCATCACTGCTGCACCACCATCCCTCAAACCACTGTGATTGTGACTCAACCCATCACCAAGCCTACTAACCCGTCATTGAATAGCATCCAGTTGACAGGTGCACTTGTAGTATATACTCTATCATCTGTGTGTCGTTACTCGGTCTTGGGCCAGTGGAGATCGATACGCAAAGTCCTCCCTACCAAATGCTTCCTGGTTGCGGTCCCGGCCTAGGAACTGTGTCCGGACCTGCCTATTGGTCGCTACGAATCCCTACTACATTCCTCCCATCCACACTTCCTCCCCCTGGGAGCATCATCGCTCCGACCGCAGTGGCCCGATGTTCAGGCTTACTTTCCGTCATCATGGTTGCGGGGAACGTCTTTGGGCCGCTGGGCCGTGTCGTAGACCCTACGGGCTGCAAACTGCGCCACGTCCAAGTTAGCCTACGTCACAATTTCTCGGCCGTAACTGTTGGACGACGGGACAACTCTCTTGCCATATTATGTGAAAGCTGAATTATAGCGAATACAACGCCACCGTCATTTCCATCCCTAGACTGCTACAACAGCATCAACATAGATACAGTACGCATATAAAGGTAAGCTGTAAGCAGTTCAATGCGAACAACTGCACTCACTCCATCCTGAATAGTATTACTTCTAGCCTCCGGTCTCGACTCCAGCCGTTGCTAAGAATGTGTTGCAGAAAGAAACAACAGCATCCAATTGGATATCGGCAGTTGCATTCGCCACATTGGCAAGGCTGTGGAGAGCTAAATCTGACGACTGCTTTGAGGGAGGCAACCGCTCCAGCCTCTCCTTCTGGAAGAACCATCCAAGATCCTACAACTTATACCAATCTCCGCTCCGAAAAAACCCCTATGGCAGCTCTTCTCGCTGTCGGTCTTGGTCTTGGCGCCGAGAAGCTGGGACGAAGGATATCCGATAAGAGACTTGAGCGAAAGGAAAAAAAAGCCATCGCTGTATGTGAGCAAGCCTGAAATAGTCCCGACATTGTTCTGACCATCTGTCATAGCAACACGATGCGATATATGGCTCTTCTTCGTCAGCGCCACCTCGGCCAAGAACAACACGTGAAAGGCAAGACAAGATAGCGAAGAAGCGCGAGGACGCTCAACGAGCACTCAATGAGGCGCGGCAGGAGCGACAGCCTCTGCCAGAGTATGAAAGCAGACGCAACAGTACCTGTGCAGGAAAGTCGAATGAGGAGGAAGGGCCACCAAGTTACAATGATGTAGTGCGCCAGGATGCAAGGCGAACTTGATATCGTTGACCGGGTTTCGGTAATGGGAGCATGTGGGTTAGTCCTTACATGTACTGTTTTACGTACATGTCGATAATATATAGAATCAGATTCACTTCTTAATATGTCATATGTACCGCACATGTACGTAATTTCATTTCATTTGAAGTTTCCGCGAATTGAGAAAGACGGAGACATCTCATGTGAAGTTCTTGCGAGTTGAAAAAGAGAAAACTATATAGAGATCGCTACACAGGTTGACACCCTCCATGTCAAATGCGAAACGCGGTAAAAGACGAGTCTTTTAAGGCTCGGGCTTGGCAATGTACAGTGATACCGTTCATCTGGGTGACATGAAGACTTCACACGCTAGTATACAAAAGCCACTGTAGGCGCTCACGCTGTCGCTGTCAAGTATTTCATGTCAACCAGGTGATACCGTCTGTAATTTCAGTGGCCTAATGCGTACGTGCTGCATACGGCGGGTCACTGCACGTGGGCTTGTGTAACAGTGACACATTTTTCAGCCCCAATGCGGTAGTCCACGAGATTCACTACTTTGTTTGTTTGCTGCTCACTGCTCACGCGCGCAATAAGCACAGACCCTTGCCGCTTTCGTCCACGATTGGTAGTAGTGATAGCGCAAACTCTGCCTGGACACAGAGTATAATATTCCGTTCGTTTGCTCCAACAGACCCAATCTCTCCACACCCGACCAACACCCACTCCACACCAATTTTGCAAGCGCACTCAAGTGCCCAGTTGCGTTGCAGTTCTCAATCGCATTGTAGCCCAGCTCAGCAACTCCCAACAACACAGCGACATCTCGCTTCCAGCAACATGGCCCGCTGGAATACTGCAGCCAACCATGGCGGTGGCGTACACGATCGTATCGAGGCCCCGTCACAGTTCGCGGCTACCTTCTGTGCGTCTTCGCAGCCTTTGGTGCATTCTCTTCGGCTAC